AAATCCCTTTCCACTTGAATAAAAGTACTCAAATTATCTAATTTCTTTCTATTTGAAGGAAAGTACTCAAATAATTTACATTCATTCCATTTAGGTAAAAGTACTTAAATAATAAAATCTTATTCCATTTGAATAAAAGTACTAATCTCAACAATTCTCTTTTAATTTAAATAAAAGTATTTACCTGATTAAAACTCTTTCTATTTAAATAATAGTTCTTATACTATTTATTCTCTTTCGTTTTTTGTATAAAAGTACACCAAATAATAAATTTTTTATTATTTAAAAGAAAGTATTTGACTCAATTCATCTCTTTTCATTTAAAAGGAAGTACTCGACTTATTAGGTCTCTTTATTTTCAAATGAAAGTACTCAACTTATAAAATTATTTTCTATTTAAATGTAAGTACTTACCTAATTAAATATTTTTCTATTAGAATAAAAGTACTTAACTTATCAAATATCTTAAAATTTTAATTTAGGTGCACTATTCATCAAATCCCTTTCCATTTTAATGGAAGTACACGACTTATCAAATCTCTTTCTATTTTAACGAAAGTACTATACACATTATATCTCTTTTCATTTTAATGATAGTACTAAACTCTTTAAATCTCTTTTTATTTGAACAAAAGTACTAATTACATCAAATATCTTCCTATTTAAATAAAAAAACCCAAGACATTAAATCTTTTTCTATTTGAATGAAAGTACTTAATATATCAAATTTTTTCCATTTTAATAAAAGTACTCTACTCATCAAATATCTTTCCGTTTAAATGAAAGTACAAAACCCATCAAAAGTCTTTTCATTTAAACAAAAGTACACATCTTATCAAATCTCTTTTAATTTGAATAAAAGTACTCAACGCAATAAATCTCTCCCCATTTAAATGGAAGTACTCTACTCATCAGATCTCTTTTTGTTTAAACGAGAGAACTTAACAAATCCAATTTCTTTTATTTTAAATAAAATTACTGAAATTCTAAAATCTCTTCTGTATAAAAAGAAAGTACCTAACTCATTAAATCTCTTTCTATTGAAATGAAAATACTAAACTTTTAAATTCTCTTTCTATTTAAATAAAAGTACTTTWCTGATAAAAAGTCATYCTATTTGAATAAAAGTACTTAACTTGTCAAGTCTCTTTCTATTTAAAAAAAAGTTCTTTTATTACCAGATCTTTTTCCATTTAAATGAAACTACTAATCTCTTCTAATATCTCTCAATTTGAATAAAAGTATTCGTTTTATTAAATCTCTTACCTTTTAAATAAAAGCACTCAACCTATCAAGTCTCTTTCTATATAAGTAAAAGTACTAAACTTATCAAATATTTTTATTTTGAATAAAAGTACTCAAATCTTTTTTTTCTAGTTAAATAAAAGTTCTAAACTTATCCAATCCCTTTTCATTTGATTGTGAGTAACTAACACATTATATCTCTTTCTATTTAAGTAAAAGTACCTAACTCATCAAATCTTTTTTAATTGGATTGAAATTTCTCAACTCTTAATATCTTTTACCATATTAATGAAAGTACTTTACTTATCAAATCTCTTTCTATTTAAATGAAAGTACTTAACTTAACAAATGTTTTTCTATTTTAATAAAAGTACTTAACTTATTTAATTTCTTTTAATTTAAATAAAAGTACTTCACTTATCAAAAATCATAATATTTAAATAAAAGTACTTAATTTATACGGTCTCTTTCTAATTAAGAAAAGATACTTAACTCATCAAATTTTTTTATATTTGAATGAAAGCGCTCAACTCATCAAATACTGTTCCCTTTAAATGAATGTAATCAACACATCACATCTCTATCTATTTAAATGAAAGTACTCCACTTAATAAATCTTGTTTTATTTAAATAAAAGTACTAAGCTCATTTAATTTCTTTCTATTTTAATAAGAGTATCTAACGCATCGAATCTCTTCCTGTTTGAATAAAAGTATTATACTTAACAAATCTCTTTCTATTTGAATGAATGTATGAAAACTTATCAAATTTCTTTCAACTTTAATTACAGAACTTAACCCATTATACCTTTTTCTATTTAAATGTAAGTGCTCAAATTATTAAATCTCTTTCTATTAAATTAGCTGTACTTAACTAATAAAATTTCTTTCTATTTAAATGATGGTACTAAGCTTATCAAATCTCTTTTAATTTTAATTAAAGTACTAAACTCATCAAATCTTTTTCTATTAAAATAAATTTTATAAACTTATTAAATCTTTTTTCAGTTAAATAAAATTACTAAACTCATCAAATATCTTTCTGTTGGAACGAAAGTACACAACAAATCAAATCTCTTTTTATTAAAATGAAAATACCTAACTTATCAAATATTTTTCTATTTAAATTAAAGCACTTACCACATTAAGTCTCTTCTCATTTAAATGAAAGTACTAAACTCATTAAATCTTTTATCATTTAAATAACAGTTATTAACATATCAAATCTCTTTCTATTTAAATAAAAGTACCTTACTCATCAAATAGCTTTTTATTTGAATAAAAATACCAAACTCATCAAATTTTTTTCAATTTGAGTAAAAGTACTAAATTTTTCCAATCTCTTTCTATTTAAGTCTATGTAGTCAACTAATCAAATCTCTTTCCTTTAAAATAATAATTTAGAAACATCAAATCTCGTCCTATTTAAAGGAAAATTCTTAACATATCAGATCTCTGTCTATTTTAAAAAAAGTCCTTTACTCATAAAATCTCTTTCAATTTAAATGAAAGTACTAAACTTATCATATCCCTTTCTATTCAAATGAATGTATTTTACTGATCCAATCTTTTTTCATCTGAATAAGAGTACTTAACTCATTAAATCTTTTTCTATTTGATTAAAAGTAATCTATTTAT